TCGAATAATCGATAGATTACTCGATTACTAAAATATTCGTTTACAACAGCCCTAGACACACCCATGTTCCAAAAAGATAAGTGTGTGGTTTAAGAAAACTTACCACATCCTGTTGTGTTTTTGAAGCTGCAACAAGAAAGTCTGCATGTTTCCATCTTGGACACGAATGCCACATTATTTGGGCCCTTTTATTGTTTGTTTAAACCATTTCTTTATCAGGGTGGACTTCTAAGTTTTAAGAACAATATATGAATGTTTTAGTTGGATTTTAACCTAAGATGAGCTATTGAGTCAGTTGCAGTAAAACCCAAGAAATGACACTACCTCCATGCTTAAACAGCATACGTATTGAATACCACATTTCGACGCCTCAAAACAGTTTTCATGCCGTATCCAAAAAGTTCAAATTTTTGACCAGAAAAAAAGGCATGTCAATGGAGAAGATGCTAATGTTAAGGGACAGTCGTGATCACTCAGCAGTGATGGTAAATGGCTGGAACTTGTATATGTTGTTTAAATGTTACTTTTAACTTAGTAGACATAACCCCCCCCTCCCCAAAAAAAAAAAAAAAACTAGAGATGACACAAAAATACTGGGTAACATTTTGTGTATTTGCGGCACAAGGACACAGCGGCTGAGTGAAAGAAAGCTTTTACAAGCTGGTTATCAGAAGATCTATGTTTTTGCTCAAGAAGGACTATGCTTGTATTTAAAGACATACAGGAAACACTTAAAATGTCTAAAAAGGTGTTGTGTTTTAAAGCTAAGAAGTTATTTAAAATATATACAAAATGATCTGTCACCAATGTATGCACTGGTTCAATGTTTTAATAAACACAAAATATTTCAATACATGAAGAGTTCTCAACCCTTTTTGGCCCAGAGCTCCCTTATCCAAAATCCAGATCCTTTACAGCCCCATCAAATAAGATAAAGGCTATTATTTATTTTATTAATAATATTATCGCTATTGCCACTTTTGTTGCTTTTTATGATCACATAAGTATTAGTTCCCAATCGGAGACACAAAAAAGCCTGAAATTATTTTTATAGGTGTTATGAATGAAATAATTCATTTACCATTTTACCATTTAACCAACATTCAACTTAAATTAGGAAGGCAGCAGCCAATCTGAACAGTTTGAATTGAACATTTTAATTCAAACTGACTATGTTTATCAGCCATTCAGTCACTAGGTGGCAGCAGTGTTCAAATTAATCAATAGGGAGTTAATAAATTGAACTTGGAAATTGTTTTAAGACTTACAACCATAAAATGATCAGCAACAACTTAAATTTGAAGTTGTTGCTGATCATTTTAACAATCTGTTCTATTAATCAGGTCATAGAATGCTCATGCCAGTGGTTTGTATAGACAAATTATTAAATATCAGATTAGCTGTAGCATTTCATTTCTGGGAGTAAAATGGTTGCGAAATAAACATGACAGAAAATAATTGAGAAAGACTGGTCCTAGTGGCTGGAGGAGCAATATGCTTGGAGAGAGAGGCGGGGACTTTATTAAATAATAAATTTATTGGTAATTTATTGTCTGTTTCACTACATTTGTCCATTAGGACTTTCAAAAATGTTAGCAACCTGCTAACAAAACCTCTGACAGGAACTGGTATTGTGAAAATTTTTATGTAAGCTGATAATTGTGGTCGCAGCTAAGCTTGAATTGAAGGAGGAACTTAAGTTGTTTTTGTCGACTCCATCTTCATTTTGCAAGCAAAGCCTCAGAGGAGAGAAGGGCTGAATTGACTTGGATCTGGAAGACAAAATGAATCGATCTTACTGCACTAAACCTGATAAGAAATTATTTGAACATACAATCCTGCCTGGTCTCTACATCTTGGTATTTGTTATTGGACTGGTCCTGAATGTATGGGGAATGAAGTCTTTGCTGCACAACTGGAAGAAACTTTGGAGTATCAACATTCTTGTTCTTAACCTTGGACTAGCAGACATGCTGTATCTGCTGACTCACCCCTTTCTCATCGTGTACTACCTTAAAGGAAACAAATGGATCTTTGGAGACAGATTCTGCAAGGTAATAAGATTCTGCTTCAACCTGAATTTATACGGCAGTATCGGATTCCTCACCTGTATAAGTGTGTACCGGTACCTGTCTGTTGTCCATCCAACGAGAGTGATGGGGAGATTAACTACGACTCACTCTGTGATCATCTCAGCAATTATTTGGATTCTGGTGAGTGCTCAAAGTCTTCCAGACATGTTCTATCCAAAAACATATCCAAACGGATCAAAATGCTTTGACAGCACCTCTTATGAACATTTTGAGAGTTACCTGGATTACACCATCGCATGGACATTCTTTGGATTCTGCATCCCTTTTGTCACTATTATAGGCTGCTATGGACATGTGACTTTTGTTATCTGCCGCTCAAATATGATGAAAAAAGACCAGAAACGACAAATCTTGAAATTGATGGCTCTACTGATTCTTCTGTTCTCGCTTTGTTATGCACCCTACCATATTTTCAAGAACCTCAGCCTGTATTCCAGACTTCTGCGCAAGCAGGGAGCATGCCCCAAATGGGATTCTGGAGTTTTTATTGCCCGTCAGGCAAGCCGTGGTCTAGTGAGCCTGCACAATGCTCTTAACCCGCTGGTTTACCTGTGTCTATATGAGGAAATGGTTTCTCAGTTCAAGCAGTTGCTGCATGGAGGTCACCAGATTCTCAGTCGTCGTTTCAAGTCAAAATCCAGCTCTGTGCCGGTACCACAGACTGAGAAAGAATCTGAAAGTGATTTATGATAGCAGGTAGTGTTTTGTCATGAGTAAAATTGTAACAAATAATGTGATGTTGTCTAGGTAACTTGAGATCATCCCATTTCCCCGTGCTGGACATTTTGGTTTAACAGTAACAATACATGAAATTGTCTGTAAATTAATCATACAAAGTAACATCTAGACCAAACTGTAGAATCAAACTTCAGTAAGATCAATATGGTTGTGCTTTTCTGTTTTATTTCATGCAAATTTTGCTTTAATTCTATTTCATTTTGTATTTAATCATAAAAAGTCATAATCATAGGCAAAGAGAGTGCTGTCTAGCCATGAAAAAGGAACAACAGATTTCCTGAAAAAATAGGAAGTAAGTTTACAGCCTGCAGAAAGTTTTAAAGAATGAATTGTAAACACTTTAAGTGATTGAATAAGACCCGATGCAAAATACTTGTATTGATGTTTTGATTCTGAATTAGAGAAACTAAAGAGTTTATGGATGTGATTTTGACAATGAACTTGAAATGATGTAAATTATGTAACTGCAATCAAAGATCACTGATGTGTGTTGGAGGCAGATACTATGTGAAAGGTTAGGAAACGGAGAATCAGTAATAATCATGTTTAATGTGTTTGTGAATCAGAAATGACGTGTAACCTCAGTAAAGTTGATCAGAGTTTAACACTGGTTGCTGACATGTAGTGTCTCAGAGGTGAGATGGTGCTGATCAGGAAGCAGATGAATGACCCAAAAGAAGAACTGAAACTGCTGAACAGAAGATAGTTTGTGTCATGGAGTGGACCCAAACTCAGCAGGCAGTAGACGTAGTATATCGTGGATATTTTAATGAAGAAAATCAATTAACAAAATTCAAAATCCAGGGGTACAAGGAAATCCAAAACAAAAATAAACTGGAGGCACGAGGGTAACAAGGGTAATGACAAGTAGAGTGACAAGCAAAGTGATGAGACGGACTGGTAAGTTGTGACTGAGATAGAGGAGCTTTAATACTGGGAGGTAGCAAATGGACCGATGGACCTATCTAGATGAGCTAACTGATTGCAGGTGTGAGTAGTTGGGACAGGAGCTAGCTAAGGAGCAGGGGAATGGTGGCACAGGGAGACAAGTAGATATTCTGGGGAATACAAAAGGGATGAAACACAAGGGAGCTGAAAGTACTTCTAATACTAAAGAAATACTAAGACTTAAGAAAACCTGATAAACTAGAAGAGAAAAAGACATGAGGGAATACATAAACAAACCTAAACAGAAACAAGGCTCATCTAACAATAAGAACTCAGGAACATAGAGCTAGATTAACTAGAAGGACTAAACAAAGAAATAATCTAACTAGAATTGCTAAAGATAGATGGGCATATATTCAGACAAAAAGACTAATTTAAAGTGATAGCATAAGAAAACTACAAATACTACGGGGGGAACTAGAAGGACTTAATAACTTAACTGGAACCGCTAAAGAAAGGTATGCCTAGACTCAGACATGTAAGAATAACTGAACCTAGAGTGATGAAATAACTAAGGAAGAAACATTACTAGAAACTACAGGGGGCCTGAAATAAGGAAAATTCAAGACAATTCTAACCACAACAAATAACCTCAAATAACAAAAATAAAATGACTGTGAAGGGCTAATGTAAAGGGAACTAAAACATAAGATGAAAAAGCAAAACCAAACCCAAAACCCAGAGTCCTGGCAGTTTATAGGCTAAAGGATGGAGTGTGACCCTTGAGCAGGCCCGGGGACAAGAATACTGACGTGACATGATGTCTTCAAAGCAAAGATGGATCTGAGGTAATCTATTCAAGCAGACAGCCAGTGTAAAAAGCCAGACTGTGACATGAGAGTGCCCTTTGAGCATTGTCAGGATGCTTAAAAGTCTGCCGCAAAAGGAGAGAAGGAATTTTTTTTCTTTTCGTAAGGTCCTCTTTGACAACTAGACGGATCAACTACACCTTGGGTCTATGTGGAAGAGACCCAGAAGCTACTGGACTGCAGTGGAGACCTGTACGCGCCTGAGGAAATTCCCCCAAGTTCCAACCCCAGCAGCTTGATTCAGGACTCTTCCAGCATCCGGGCCTGCAGGCCTCAACTCCCCAGTGACCGTGTCCCCCTCGCTCTACCGGGACTGATCCTATGCCAACGGACTGAGCTGAAGTTTGTGGTTCTGTACTACGTCTCGCAAATTCTTCTCCAACCCATAATTAAATGAGCATATGAAGGTAGTCACGTGGTGGACATTCTTTCTGTGTGTCACCCTGGAGTCCTCTGATAGGTGTAGTTAATCATGGTGTTCGAATAAATAAACCGACAAGGTGCAACTACCAGTGGCTAAGCAAACAGAAGATAAAAATATCTCCTTTACGACTTGTAACTCGACACAAAAATCCTGACCTGGGCAAACTTTAAGAGCATGTTGTGAAAAAGATGAGAACGTCCGTTAATGGGTGTGATCTGTGGGAGTTAACTCGGTTACCTAGTAAGTTATCAAACAGAAGGAAGCGAGGAGGAACATTCCGGAAGAAGGACAGACCCAGGCAAATCTCCTCCCTTAAATCCAGCTGAAATGTTCTGCGTGAGCTTGGCCATAGACTGCAGCTGGATGGAGCACTAGATCTAATCCTGAAATAGTGCTGACAACAACAATGTTAAAGTGGTGAAATCCAGTTCAATATGCAATCTCTTTTTAATCCATTGTCAAAAGTGTAATGTTTTTGAAATGACTCACTGTAGTTCAGAGAATATAATACTTTTGCTGGTTTATAATTCATTGGAAGGCTTTTTGAAAAAAATGATGACTGCAGTTTTATCAACCTTCCACACCTCTTCTTACTGACGAAGTGTATTTTTTATTTTTGCACACTTCCTGTTTTATAAAGTTCATGATGAATTTTTCCAGGAAACCATGTTGGTTAGTTTATGTGTAAGATAGGAAAATAATTATATGTAATAATTGTATGTATTTTGTGAGCCACACTGTTAAAAAGCAACCTAAGCTCCGCATACAAGATTAGATTTGAATAGACTACGCTGAATGTCACAGAAATTTAAATTGAAGTCTAAATAAGATGTTCAAAAAATTCCCTATCAACATGCATGTTTGCAAAAATAAAAGTCGCATTGAATTTTCACTTAAGACTTATAAAATTGTTTTATGATTTTGGTTATGGCTG